ATACAGGAAGAAAACCAGCTGAGCAAATGTGCTGGAGCTCCACTTGTGTTGCTAGGTAACGGGTTGGGCTGCACTGGGGTTGCTAGGTAACGGACAGTGCCCGCTGATTTCTGACTTTACTTTCAGAAGGTTTTTGAAACAGCTAATCTTCAAAACACCCAAAAACTTTAATGGCTCAGTGGTTTTTCCCCCTGTAGGAACCCAAATGGATGTATAAAAACATGTCAAACATGAATTAAAGGAAGAGAGGCACATTGTTATTTCACAACAAATGTGTGTAATCTCTGCAGCATTCAATGGGAACAATAAGAAAGTAACACATAGTTATTTGTTCTTTGGTTTCGCAGAAAAATGCACTGACCAGGTTCAGCACGAAACCGAAAACATGACTGTGAAAGGAGCCGAAAATGTTTAAAGGTCCATATGGGGAGAATATTTCCTGGAAGCAGATCTGACAAAAACGTGAGGCAGACGGCAAACAGGCGGGTCCATGTGACAAATCGACAACAGAAAAGAATGCAAGACATTATCAGGAGATTAAAGAGGCAAAACTTAAAACCTGACATTATATGAATTTAGGGAAAACGGTTGAAATCAACATCATGTGTTATGAAAGGTTATTACTGTGTTCACAGAGAAAAGTAAGAGAATAATGGAGGTAGATTAGTATTTTTTTCTGAAACTTTGAGGAAAAGGAAAGCAACTTGCTCAGATTTGTACAAATAGGGAAAATTAAAAGTATTTCATGTTAAATTGCAATAGGTTATGAAAAACAGTTGCAGTTGAATCTTCATTTTAAGGTTGTTTCACTCTACTTATAAAAAGTCCTATGAAGAAAATATACTCTTTTCACGTAAACGGTACAAAACATAAATCAGAAGTGCGAGTAGTTACATTTGTATTTTGCATTGATCTCTGGTAGTATCAGTTTATGTCGGCTACAAACAAAGTAGCAACATGCCTGTTGCTATGTCGTATCATAGCAAGAGACGGGATTTCCTGGATGAGTTGGTGGGATTTAGTGTGAGCAAAGATGGCAGGATGCTCATCTTTTGCATTCCTGAGTTTACAGCGACAAACAAGACAGTTGTTCAAATAAACTGAGACTGAAAGGTTAGGATTAAAAAAACCCCAAAGAATTAGAAAACAACAATCCGTCTCATTTTTGTTTCCCTGCCTGCTGACTGAGAGCATCTGTGGAGCCACTTCAACACAAAACAAAACAGATGTTTTGGTTTTTATGCAACCCAGTGCTAGTAAATAAGTTGTCTTTGCTTTCTAACATTTGCTTCCTCATAAAACATGTTTCCTCCATATAAAATGTGGGATTCGGCAGCAAAATCCAAAACTTTAAGGTCAGAATGAGGGCAAGGATATTTACCAGCAGCATTTTCTTTATCTTTATTTGTATCCCAACACAACGGCTGGAAAAATGACAGGGCAAGCAAAGTGTGAGTCAGTGGTTGGTGTACGGCTCCCAGGGGCCCAGTACACTTCTTCACAGTCAGTTTGAAACCAAACGCATAATGAAGCAGGCCTCTGGTGAATTCGCCTGCGCTCCTGGACACACACACACACACACGCACACACACACACACACACACACACTGCTGCAGATAGTTTGTACTGTGTGAAACAAACGGTTCTCTTCTTACTGACGCCGTGCTTCCTGAGTTAGTTTATGCTAAACCAGTAAAAGCAAACTACCGTTACTACAGTGAAAACAAAACTGATCATTCAGGACGATTAATAATATATTCCACTGTAAACATTACAACGTGCCAAACAAGCAACTTCATCTGGAGCAAATTTGGAGTCAACCAAAAAGACAAACATGATTTTTGTGAAATCCAGAGTCAAATGTGTTTGTCTTTACTGAATTCCTTGGTTTGGTTTCTTCTGTTATTTATTCAAAAATAATTCAGGTTTATAGTCTTTTCTAAAATAAATTTATGAAGGTAATTCATGACATTATCTGTATAACTTCAGGATTATAGATTTATCCGATGTGATTCAGGATATGGCAAATATCAATTCAATATTCTAAGAAAATTAAAAATACCCTTTTTTCACCTTTTTGTTTTGGAAGTAACTCATGGAGGAATTGTTACTGTTCTAACCTCTGGCAGATCATAGCTGTGCTGCAGTGAGAATGTTAATTTCTATATCAATAGAACAAAGAATCAGTTTTAACTTAAAAAAAAATCTTTGTACAATTTTGTTGTGTATTGATCTTTTAGCTGCTTCAATTGTATTTGGCTTTAAACATATTAATTGAACAATTTCTGCTTTTGAATGATTGATACATTTAGGACTGAAAGTTTTGTTATTCTCAAATTATACAGAAACATAAAACATTTTCATAGTTAATACATCAATTCACTTGAAGAAAATACCTCCAATATCCAAATTATATATAAGCTACACATTTTAAATAATACGACCACACGTTTTCTAAATTATATGCAGAAAGGATATATATTTTTACCTTAAAAGTATCAGCATCTCAGCTTTAAGCCACATTTTGTATAATCCAGATGACTTTTAGCACTAAACAACAAAAGGCCTTCCAGTACCTGTGGGTACATCAGCTTCTCCTCATAACCACCAACTTGCAGAACAAAGTTACACCCTTGGATTAAAAACAAGTTGCAGCCTCACTTTTTGCCCCACAGCAGCATCATCTCTCTTTTATGCTCCACCTGCAGCTGAGCCTCACCAGGTGAAATCACATCAGGGGCCCCGGGGGGCTCTGCTGAAACACAGCATACCTCAACCCCCCTGTGAATCCGTCTCCCCTCCATCACAGCACCTGATAAGACTTTGGGAAGGCAGGGGAGCGTCGGCCTGCCAGGTTTTCCTCAGCCTCCTTATCAGAAATCCTGCTATTCCCAGGAAATCGTTGGTGGGAAAGTAAAACTTAATTAAAACGGTGGTGAGAAATGACTCAGGTTGGACCTGTTGGGTCTGAGTGACGATTTATCTGTGAATTACAGATATTACAGTGAAAAACAAATGAACTGTTTTTAAAAGTTTGTTACATAACAGCCACAAACATTGTTGGAGTTTAAGCACCGCGTTTTCTGGACTATAGAGCGCACCATACTATAGGCTGCAGGTACGAATTTTTTGAAAAACAAACAAAAAAACTGGAAACGTAATGGAATCGTACCGGCCTATAAACTGCATGGGTCAAAGGTCGGAAAAAAGTAGCGGCTCATAGTCTGAAAAATACAGTATTATTCAAACACAACGTAGTTAATAATTGTGAAGTAAAGATAAAAGGATATTTTAACTTGTAATTTACCATTTCTTTTTGCAGCTTTTATCCTGGCACAACCAACAGTGTTCACAAGTTAGCTAAATAATTAATAGGGCTGAACTAATCAGACATGAAGAATTGATTATTGAAATAAATAATTGAGTAATTGATTAATCAGTGACTGGAGTATACAGATTTAAAAAAAAAAAGGCCAGTCAGAGCTGTGAAGAAGTCAAATCTGCACAAAAAATACATAAACATTTTGAATTTAACATGAAAAAAAACAACTTTGTCTGCATATGTGTTGTAAAATCAGAAGGTATGATGCAGTAATTGTGCTAAATAGACGTAATAATCAAAGTTGATGTTTCGTCACATATTTTGTATCACCCAGAAGACGACAATGTTTGGGCGAACACTGAACGAAAAGGTTAGGGGACATCCATTTCAAATATAACATGAATAAAACACTGAAAATTGTGGTTGCAACATGTTAAAATTGGACCTTGAAGGAAATACATGGGTTCTCTACCTCCCTAGCAGCTTTGTCTGCTCCTCTCCAGCTGTTTTGATGTTTCTGTGTTGATTCCTGGAAGCAGTGAGGCCGTCTGCTCTCACTCAGGCTGTGTAATTGGCTCCTTCTCTCAGAGAGGTATCCCACTGCCTGACTAATGCGTCCCACCTCTGCCCAACCATCTATCTCTGTTCATCCGTCCAACCCTTCGCCCTCCAGCACCACCTCTCTGCAAGCCGCCGCCACTATCATACACGCCACATTAGCCGTGTATGAATAACAGGCCTGCAACGACGACCTGCACCCATTTCTCAATTTGCGGTGGCGGATGATGACCGCAAATCATCATCAGAAGTTAAGTGCATCAGAAGCTGTGCTATCATGCAGCTTAAGTCCAGATGATGAAGTGTGGCGTTAGTGAAGGAGGGGTAAAGTAGTGGCCTAGGGGCAGATGTTAATGACCTCACACTGTTTGTGGTTACATGTCATAAATCATTTCCCTACATGCAGCTCTACATCTGGATGCTCACTCTGGGGCTTTATTCCCACACTGACAGTATTTTACAAATAAGTCAAAGGCCAGGGTATGTTTTTGTAAAAAAAAAAATAAAAATAAAAGAAGATATTGTGTCAATGCTCTCACTGCAGCTCAGATCAGGAATTATTTTTGGCTTCCTCCACCTCTCTCTTCCATACGCTCCACCATCCACCATAAAAACGGAGACATGTCGTGATGCCTCGTCTCTCCCTGGCAGCGGAGGAAGATTTGGAAGCATGAGAAATATGCCTGACAGCTGTGGGGGGAAAACATATGCAGCCGATAAGCTTGAGTTAAAACAACCGTGAGTTGGAGGTGATCAGAGAATCCAGTTCTGACGAGCCTCAGGTCTCATGAACTCGGCTCAAATCCAAACCAGTTAGAAATGCCAAAACAAATGGTTCTGTTTGTCCACTGCATCAGTCTTCTCTACATTTGTATAAATAAATAATGTTAAAATAGTCATTATCCTTCAAAAATAGACATTGCATGATGGGAAATGCTGCCATCTAGTGAATTTATTTTGATTTGTTTGCATTCTCTATTTACTGTTGCACATGTAGATAGAATTTCCATACATACAATGTAGAGAAAAGCAAAAGCATTGTTTTATTTTCTGAACGTTTTCATAACATTACACAATATTAATCAGAAATTAGGTAAATGTCCATAAATCTGCAATTTGTTTTCTGCAAGAATAGTCAGAAGAAATATTAATTTAACAAAATGAACCACTGAATTAACAATGAATTGAAATTTCTGTTTTATTCTGTATCAATAAAAAGACAGAGCATATATAAAAAAGATTGTTCTCATTTGTCTGAAAATTCATAAATTTCATCAAGCAACATGTCAAATTTTAACTTGCCTCTGCATTTCGCAGCACATATTTTGATAAATAGTAAATGCTAAGATTGATTGCTGTAATTTTGGTTTAATTTCTCCAGTGGGTATAAAACAGAAATGACCACAGTGTAAAAACATCAGCTGTGTTAGAAAACAGCACTTCCGCATGCAGCCACTTGGTGGCGCTCACTTAACACGAACATTAGCGCAGAATCATCCTGGTTCTGTTCCTGAAACATTTCAGCTTCTTATCCACAAAGTGGATAAATGACTCGGAGTTACACTCTTCACTAAATATGGATAATAATAATAATAATTTTGTTTTTCTAAATCTGCATCAGAAACAAAATGGACAATAAATCCTTTATTGTTGTGTTATTTTGTTGTTTTCACACTAAATGCTGCACAATAAGCACCAATGTTATTACAGTTTCAAGTTATAACCAGAAAGAGCCTGAATATCTTGTTCTTTATTCTTTTCCATTTTTTTACTAGGTCTAAAATAAAAATGAAACCTGAAAATTGTTGTATAAGCATAAAACAAATAAAAGTGAAAGCAAAACTAATTCCATGAAGGAGAGAAAACCACTCAAAAGACCCATAACTATCCTCCACCAACTCTGAAATAAGTAATCAACAAATACCTTATTAGAAGAAATCCCTTTCTCGGCATTAAGTGGGGAAAAATTGAGCCCTTTGAAGCAAACATTCAGACATTTCTTTAAATGAGCAATCAAGGATATGGATGCGCTGAGAATCTATTCGCTTTTTATGTAAAATAGCTTTTGGAAGTCGTTTAAATGAGCTGAGAAATCCTTTCTAGACAGAGAAAAACGTTGAAAGTTATTTGAAGACATCAAACAGGCAGGGCAAGGGTCAAACTACTGCAGCCATTAAAGTTAAAATTTTCAACTTTAGTCTTTTAGAAATGTCCTAGTTTCTTCTTGAACATTTCTGAGATTAATCTCAACATTTCAAAAATTTTTGGCAGGAATGTATTTCATCTTTTTCTATCTATATTGTCCCTAACAAGCTGCTGTCTTAACCTAACAGAACCATAAAGTATCGAGACGGAAGCTCAGTTTTTCTCAGGACGGTGTGAGGTCTCGTTGAACCGCACGCACCAGTTGCACCAGCGTCTCCATCCACAGCTCCTTCTGGTGCTGGTTGCTGATCTGGCGGAGTGTCTGTGAGCTGTAGACTAAAGTCAGCACTGTTCTCTCAAAGTCCTGCCAGTCGAGCGGTCGCCGCCGCTGGGCCAGCTCCGCCGTAAGGCGGCGGATATCGGAAAGCTTCTTCGGCAGCACATCCTCGCAGATAACTTCTAGTGTTTTCACGCTGCTCAGGGAGGCCAGCTCCTCATCTGGGATCAGCAGGGGGCGCTCTTCACCTTGGATCTGCATTCCGGCAAGAAGAATCTGCAAAGAAAGGAACAAAAATTCAGGAAGTGCTCGAACAGCCATGCATGTCCAAAGTTTCAACCGATTTCTTCCACACAGCAACAAAAGGCTGATCTGAAGATCCAAACTGACCTCAAACAGCAGCTCAGCGTCGTCCTCTGAGTGCAGGAAGGTGGGATTGATCAGGGAGTACGCCCCACGCTTTATCAAGTACGCAGACGGATACAGAGCTGGACGACAGGAAATTCAATTAGACAAGCTGGGCTGTGTTTAAGAAATTTAGCAGCACATTACTTAACGAGGCGAGGGCATGGGTGGGCCGTAGGTCGAGTAAACACAGATTCATTACAGTTTAAATATGGAGCGGGTGGCAGAGGCTCTGGCTCCAGCTGAGAGGAGGGTAATTGGTCTTCGACCCGATATGTGGATGCTGCTGTATGACTTGGCACTATAGTTGGTGCTTCCAGAAAAAATAATATCTGCTTTGGATCCAATAATCGGATGTGGGTGGAATTAAACACCTGCTGCCTCATTTGTTGCAGAAGCAATCAGAAATGGGTTCAAATCTGCCATTTCCAGTCCAAATGTTGGACATATTTGTAGAACACAGAGCAGAGCAGAGTAAATATGCACAATATTCAACATGGATTAAATGTCTTTTTGTTGCATTTCATTGATGTAACCTTTAAACTGATGATTTTCTTCGGACCTTTCGCCTAGGGCTGCAATTTCTGCTTTAATTTATGACTAAAAGGCAAGCTTCAGTGGGCATCCCAATAGCAAAGTAACATAATGACACTATTGGCATATGAAGTGGCTTCACGCAAGAATCACTTTAACTGTGGAAGTATATAAAGCCTAATCAAAGGAAGCTCTTAGTGACCAAAACAGGAACAGAAAGTTGTGAATGGTGGTGAAACAAGCCACTTCAGGGCAGCAGTTAGCAAGAAGACAGATAATGCAAAGAGGAAAACTGCAGATTATGTCCAAACACACATAATGCATCAACTGAATGATGCTCAAAGCAACGTGGAACAACACAACTTGCTGTGAAAGCACCACATCCGCAGAGTTAACTAGATTCACACCCAAGTATCAAAGAGTCATATCAAAATAAAACTAAACAAGTTAATGTTAGCCAAGGACTTCAAACATGTCGATTACCATCCTGAAAAATGGATGTTTTAGTGTTGTTGATAAAAAAGCTGAATGGGATATAATATTGATAAAAAGAGTTTTTTTTACAGAAAAAACAATGATGAGTGGCGTCTAGGGTCTCACAACGTCAAGACAACAATATTCAGTTTATTGTGACATTTTCACATTTTCAGTGCAGTTTTCTGGTGATGAGTCTCATTTCTGCAAATGAGAAAAATACTTTCAAATCTTCTGTTGCTTTCTAACCAATCAAAATGCAGGAAAATTGTCTGCATTTTCTGGATATTCTGCCATTATAATCCACTGAATCATGTTTTCTGGTTTTCTCCGGTCTCTCACTCTGCATATTTGTTTTTTTAAAAACCTGATATATTAATGAGGCACAATAAAAAGCACAGGGTCTCATCTGAATTTGGACCCAGCTCTTTTACAACACCTCATTGGCTCATAAATCCGCCGTGTTAGCTCTGCGGTTGTGCCAGACAGACACGGTTAGCTCCAGTTTACAGTTATGAGGTCAGCCAAATCCTCGTGTAGTGCACCAAGCGGACCCGTCTTCAGCCTGGTTCAGTTCCAATCGGTGCTTCGGCTTTGCTTTAACAGCTAAAACATGCAGGATGTGCAGAACATCTGTCTCCCTGTGTGCCAGGGTCATGATAATTGTCCAAATCATGGCCCATTATGTGTAATCCAGTTTATCTGAAAGCTCTCAGCAAAACCATAAGCAGGATGTTTGAACCACTCAGGTAGAGTCCATTTGTAAAATACTATAAATTATGAGTCGGCCAATATGCAACTTATGTATTTTCTTGTTTTATATGAGATTAGATGTGTTTGTAGCCCAATTCTCCAAAACTTCAGCTATAAAGGTGCAAAAACATGTATTAAAATACTATTAAACTATTTTAGAATCCAAACACTTTATTCACATATTTGCTACAACTGTTCGAACAAGAAGATGATGAAAAACCAAAACTGTTTCCATCAGTGTCACAAAAACAAAGCTTCTACGCAATACCTGATAATCAATCATTATTTCCATCAGTGTATTATAAGTCTGTGGGCCACCAGGCTTGGCATTGCTAAGTTTCTTTTGAATTATTGCCTTTTTTAAGATTTTACAGATGGTGTTTAGGCATAAATCTTCCAGTCTTCCAATAATGCATAACTAGCACTCCGAGCACCAGGCTTAGCAAATTTTTTAGGGGAAACCCAGCTGAATACATCACTAAAATAATAATAATAATTTTTTTTTTTAAATCAAAAAATATATATAATAAGTTTCTTATTCTCTGGATTTTTCTGGGTCACCACTGCACCTAATTATGCCTAATGGTAAATATATCTTTAAGCTCTTATTCATAACTTTATCTTAACTGAAAGACAAACTGTACTAACCCCATAACCCAGATCTAAAAGGTAATAACCACCAATCTAGGGAATGACTTGAAATGCAGAACAAGGCAGCAGCTCTGGTATTGAAACTTTCTGACCTTCAAAGCTCAGCACGCATCCCCGCAGACACAGACAGAAAACAAATATTAAAGCTCTGGAAGTCGTGCATCATCCAGTTGTGTAGCAGCCAATGCATCAGGACGGACTCTCCATGATTCTTTTAAATGAAGACAAAAAGCCTCTCCAGATCTGCCTTTGAACCTCCACATCTTCTAAACACAGAGAACAGAAAGCAGATGAGAACCAGCAGCAGCCAGAGGTCAAAAGGTCATCTGTGGAGCATTACACCAACATCCTGCCACCTAATGAAGCAACAGTGCCCTGTTATCCATTATAATGTCTTGCACTTAAAGGTTTCATATTATTAAATAAAGTTGTTTTTTTGTCTCAATCTTGGCACAACCAGGGAAAACATGTGCTACAGTCACCAAGTTCATCATTAAATACAAACATTTTGGTATGAATGTAATCCCATACAGTGTCTACCTAAACTGGTGGATGAATGTAGAATAAAAACTCCAGCTTTATGAGCTTTTCTGCTCATGGAATCGCTGCTTATTTTTACACTCTGCCAGTGTTGCTTCACAGAAACAACACAGAAAAATCTTAGGATACTTTAGAAAAACAAAAGAAATAAAAAATGAACAAAGGTTGATGCTCCCTCTGTAACTGCCAGAAACAAATTTCACATTCTTGAAGACATGTGAAGGATCATGATGCAGAATTTGGACTTTTTGGAAAGTTGTTAAACTGGGGACATAATTCATATAACAAAACAGATTTAATTTTTAAACAACACATTGCAGCATCAGTTGAAGTGGTCTAGCCTCACATACACATAAAATAAACTACAAAAATCTATTTTAATGGAAAACTAGAAAGATCAGAGCTTTGGGATTTATAGAGGGAGGATTACTGAGACAAGGACCAGGTGAGTTTAATTAGCTGAAGAAGGCAGAGAAGAAAAACAACCATAAACAATAACAAGAAAAAAACAACCTTGAAAAAGTAAATAAAAACACAGGAATAACTCGCATCACTAAACTCAAATGCAATGAAATTCAGAACCTAAATATTTCTGAGGATTTAGCCATAAATATAACATATTGATCAGCACAAACCTTCTCAGTGTGATTGCAGCACATATAGAGAAGCCATACCAGCTAACACAGCTGCTCTTTACATCAGCAGCAGAGTAAACATACATTTTTTTATGATGCAAACTAAAATGTTATTGGTTGCTGCCCAGAGTAACAAACTGGGAGGTTAAAGATTACTGCTTATCCACAACCCACTGCAGGAATAAGATCTCAGAAAGACTGGAGTGAGTTGTATTTTTTTTTTATTTCTATTTTATACAACAAAATCATATTAAATTGTAAAGAAAAATAACATAACGATATTTAGCAGCAGTACTCTTCTGGTCTTTCTGCCTGGAGTTTGCATGTTTTCCCTGTGCATGGGTGGGTTTCTCTGGGTACTCCAATTTCCTCTGGTCAATTAGATGTGTGTGCACATAATTGTTAGTCCTGCATTGAAAAAAAACATTTTGGTAGTTTTTAGAGCAAATATCTTATGAGATTTGACATAAAGGCCAAATTAACTCAGAAGAAACTTGTTTTAAGTCAATAATTCTGTAATATGCATGAAAAAGTTTATTATTTTTAATTATTTCACTTGTAACAAGATATTTTCCTGCTCTATAAAAACAAAAATATAAAACCTTTGTCATCCTAATTCAGAAAACAGACACATTTATGTCCTTGCTATTTATCTGAATAAATTTCATGCCAGATGTCTGATCACATTGACTCAGCTCCCTTCTTGTTTCTGATGCTTTTGTTTTGGTTTCCTTCTGTTCTCCAGTTCACCACACAATCGATGTTTGTATGTGCAGACTTCCCCTGCATGTCATCATGTGGAGGCAGGGAGCTCGTAATCTCCTGCTAACTGCTTGCAAGGAGATGAGAGAACAACAAATGATGCATTAATTAGCCGGGCTAAACAGAGCTCCTGGCTACTGGGATGTTTTCTTTTTCCTTTGACAAGACAAAAGAAAAAAAACAAACAAACGAATGGATTAAAAAGAATAAAAGAAGTCCAGATTTCTCTGGATGCATGAGAGAAAGGTGAAAAGAAATTCTCACAGCAGCAGCTCATCTTCTGCATTTCAATTCACCTCCAGATGAGTGTTAAAATCCAGTCAAGTGGTGACATTCTTGTGACTCGGATACAAATTCAAGCGTTTTGAGAGCAAACACCGGCTGCAGCATCAATACTCCCAGTGCGAGTCCAATCTGTAAGAGAGTGGGCTGCAATAAAGTCACGCTGAATTACAGGGAGAACCAACAATGAGGGATGATTGAGAACAAATATGTGCAACCACTTTGCTTCTTTGTTATAGGCATTTTCTGTCGGTAGCTCAGAGCAACAACAGACGTTTGGTTTCAAGTTCATTTTGTCAAAACTTGGGAAAGACTCATCGATGTTTCTGATGCTACACAACAGAACTGCTTGAAATTTGACAGTTTTGTGATTTAAAACAGGAGCAGAAATGCAGAATAAAATGCTGACAATAAATGAGAAGCACGACGACACAACGGTGACTTTCCATGACATAAATACATATTTACATATGTATAGTACATTATTTAGGATTCAAACAGCCAGAGATTAGAATCAGTGGGTCACAGGGGAAAGTTCAAGCTAAGAGCATGAAGATTTCAGACTTTAAATGCATCAACTAGCAGCATGCAAAAAAACAGAGAAGTGTTTTATTAATCCCAAACAGGAGAAATTCACTTGTTGCACCAGCACAAAATACACTCCTCTGAATATAAAAATATCTTAAAAAGTATGCACATTATGTTGATAAAGATAAAATTAAAGTCAAATTAAGGAGTGACCAGAATAAATAGAGAATCTGATCTGTCGTGTGTACATTACACAACATTACACAGCTTAGCTGAAAGGAACTAAAGAGTAAATTTGCTTTTATTTATGAAAAGAAATATTCGCTTTATTTGAACATAAAAGTGAATAAATAAATCTAATTAATAAATTTTTTCCAAAGTGAATGTTTTCAACCGACAGGAGGAGAAAAAGTTTGTAAAAATATTCACTAAATTTGTTTTAGTTGTGAATAAACCAAGCTCAAAATCAGAGTAAAATCAGGCGATAACTGTGGAAACACAACAATCAAACTACAGATTATTATTTGCACTTTTGTATGAAGAAAAACAGAAAATTACAAGTCAGCATAGTCATTTAAACATCTATATTTTGTGTAAAACTGGAGAAGCTTTTTTCTGAAAATAAGTTGTAGAAAATTTTATCTATCAAGAAAAAAAGATGAAAAATATTAAAAATTGCAGTAAATATTCTGATATTTTATCAGCAGTGTTGTCGAAAGACTTTGAGCGATGTGCGTATTCGGACAGGAATTTCCTGAGCGTCTGTATCCAGTAACAACAAGCCAGTCATTTTTCTTTGGAAACCGAGAGCTGCGTCTCAAGTGTTCCTAATTACTCCAGAAGATAAACACATTTTTTCACAGCAGCATATCTGAGACCAAGTTATCATTATTTATGGCTTATTTCTATTTTTTTATAGGTTTGTAGCTTTTGAAAACGACTCCAGTTCTGCATGAGAAATTAATTTTCAAAGCTAATATTTCTCAATACCAGCGGTGAAATATTTTAAAACAGTAGGATTTATGTGTATTTTTTTTCTTTCTAAGGAGCGTGGTCCTACCTTTCCTCTGGTGCCGAGCGGCCGCTTGCAGGTTGGACAGGTAAACGACGGCGAGAAGAGCCCACCACCTCCACGCCATGCTGATGATCCTCAAACACAAAGCAACACACACACTTTGCTTGTCAAACTCACTGCAATCATGACAAAAATAACTCCTGCAATTCTATTGTGCAGGATTTTATATTTCCTCCTCCCTCTGTCAAATCTCACACTCCCTCCTTGATTTTGAGCGTGTGTGGTGAGTGTTTGTGTTCCCCGTTAAGGCCAGACAGTCTGGTTCCCATCTGGAAATCATCAGTTTTTGGGAGAGCTTTTGCCCTCCTGGCTGAACTTCTCTCTCAGCCACTGGAAGGCGGTCTGCACTCACTGGGTGACTTTTCTTTCTTTCTCTCTTTTCAATTGATACAAGTGAATGCTTCATCGCATGAGTGATGAAGCTGAATGCTGCCAGACTGGTCATAATAATAACAGTAAGAAATCAGAACAGTCTTCACGTGGGAACACAAACCGTTATGAGGCAGAAAAAGCCGATCATGTTGGATTAACTTAAAATAAACCAACAGAAATGACATATTACTGACTTTCCCAACTGAATCATAGATTGCTCATATCTTTTTTTTTTTTATTAATGTCACAAAATTACTTATTTTCTATCAAAACCTGAATCTGTAGGTTCTCATAAGGATATAAAATGCTATGAAAAATAAAGTGATAAATTGCCTGCACTTGTAAAACACTTTGTCAAGTCCAATAGACCATAAAGTATTTTACACGTCAATCGTTCAACCATTCGACCTGAAGAGGGCAGAACTGAGACAATTTTGGATCAAATATTGCAGAATGGAAAAGGTTTACACAAAAATGTCACAATTTGCACAGACCCTTATGAAACAATAAACACAGCTTTTATTAAAAAATAAGTTCCATCTGTGGTTTAGTTAGTTTAATTCCTTTATTCAACATGGGGGCTGCAAAATCTTACCAGATAATTTTGATCTTGTTTCCAGAGCAAATATCTTAATTTACTTGAAATATGGAAAAAACTAATTTATAAGTAACTTTTTAGCAGCACTGAAGTTTGTTTTAAATCAATAATTTCTCATATTTAGTTCCACTTGCAGATTTTTCACTTTCAATATGGAAAAGAATAATGAATTATTGACTTAACCTGAAAAGTTACTTGCAAGTTAGTTTTGACTTATTTCAAGCGCACTAAGACATTTGCACCAGGAACTTGACAAAAAAAGAAAAAACTTGATAAAATGTTTTTTTCTTGCAGTGTCATTACTTTTTTTTTTACATAAAGAGTTTGTTAGTTTTTTTATTAGTTGAGCTGAAAACTTAAAATTCTAACTTGTTAGTTTCCTCTGAATCTCCTGAAAACTTTCTTATATTCTCAGTTTACCTAAATATTTTTCTCCAAGCTGCAACCATCTTTCTGTAAATTTATTATGAGACAAAAATATCCAGACAGACTGAAGAAACAATGAGGACCATTTAAAGCATCTCGATCAAAGGCTGTAAAGACTCTGCTTTCTCCTCCACAGCCTCTTGTGTTCTTTGTTACTGAATATGTGCAATAAATACTCAATTTTCTTCTGCAGGTTGAATTCAGCTCTCCTAGCTGATATTTCAAGGTTGCAGCCTTTTAAAATGAAACAAGGAAGGAATTACTGATTAGTTTAAGAACATAAAAATGTAAAAGTGAGGAACAAAGGTCAGAAAATGAGGTTTAAAGACAGAGATAAATATACAAACCTAGTTAATAGTTATCACAAGAACTTTATAACAACGTGGAAGATATTTTGTAGATTAATTTGATAATTTTCCATTTACAGCAAGTGAAAAATTAGAATAGAAAATCAGACCAAATAAAACCTACCTGCTAAAGTATTGTACTTTGAAGCTGACAAAACTAATTGGGATGCAAGTTCTAATTTATAGAATATGACTGTATTTTAGAAAGTGCTATGTGAATATGCAATTTGTTTAAAAGCGCTCCAGAAAGTTACAGAGTCCACACAGTGTTTATAAAGAAAATCCTGGAATCTTGCTGGATACTTGATCACTTTTCTAAGAACTGATCTATAAACGTTTAACAGAATTCAAGTTGATGACAGTTACTTACATCTTTCAGGGAATTTTCTGTTGATTGGAGATGAAGTAAGAAAATTTGAAGGCACTCTATCATACAGCATACTCCGACCTGAACCTTCAGAGTCACATAAAGACAGTTATAAAGTCAGTCTTCAACTGCCGCTTTTCGCTGCTGCAGATTAGCTGAAACACAGAGTTCCTTTAAATCAAGACTGAAAACTAAACTGTTTAAAGTTGATTTGAATCCCAATTAATGAAACATCTGCCAACATATTTGATGTGTATTGATAATTTTAAAGGTGAAAAAACTTTACCATCAAGTTGGTGAAGTTTTGATAGTTTTTATGATGAAAAACACTTTGTGCTTTACAAATAAACTTCATTGATTGATTGGTTCCATTGGTGACACCATTTTTAGCTGTTCTACTTGTTTTCATTATGCCCATCTATGTCTTAAAATAAACATTTTCTCCCGGAGACATTTAGATGGTCAACGCTTGGCGGTGAAGATTTTTACTTCTTTCTTGGTCGACACTGTCGAAGTCCATGTTCACAATAAAGTTCCTTCATTGTGAGACATTGTGGATTTTTTCTTGTCATTCTAACCAATTTTCTTTCACCTAAAGGTGATAATTTTATTCTCAGACACTATTTTGGTTTACAAAAAGTAAAATTATCCAAAAAAACATTTTAAAACTTGTTTTCAAATTGAAATTAGGCCAGCTTAATGCCTAATTAATGCAAGTAAGCTTAAGAGAGTGGCCAATTTAAATGAGTTCTACCAAGTTATGTTAATTAAAGTGGTCAAATGTCCAGGCAGAATTATGCCAGCTAATTGTTCGTTATTATGCTTGTTAATTGCAGCAGAAATGGTGCGATTCCTTTGCTTTGGTAGGTTTTCCAAATATGTTATATGCATAAAGTTGTGCTTTTTAAAATGTTTAAACTTCCCTGTTTCTTATTGTTACACAGTGAAAAAAGAAAGTTTCAAATAGGTCTTCAAAAGTATTAATTTTGACTTTTGAGTGTTTAAGTGTTTGTACTTAAAACAAATTGAATTGGGCAGATCTACAAAATCTTATGTTAGTAAAAGTTAAAGATTTTTTTCATGTTTCATTTTCCAGTATGCACCTTGGGTTTTCTTTTTTTGGACTCTACAAAAATAGAAATACAATCAGGTGAAATCTGGAGGAGAGGAGCAGCTCAGAGTTGCAAGCTGGAGCTCTGGTCTGCTTCTGCTTCACATGAGCAACACATAAGGAGAAGGCAGGTGGCACGGGCAAAAAAAGTCTTCCCTGCAGCTCATTCCCTGTGTGTTTGCCTGAAGGTGCCCTGATTCAACGAATGAGAGACAAGAAAAGTTATGCAGAACAATGTGTGTTTTTCCACAACAAAAAAGGCACACTGCATCAACACAAGCTTCATTTTCTCATGTCCCTCTGACCGTGAGGGGGCAGTGTTATGTCACCGATTCGCTGCGATCCAAAACTACCCCAACTTGTCCAAGATCCTGCACTGATTGTTCTGCCTGACTGCGTTGCTGCTGCTTGGATTCAAAAATAATTGAATTCTATTCAGATAAGGTCTGGCAATATGAATGCAGCTACTTAACAGAGATCAGAGGGTTTGTTTGGGTTCAAACCAGGTGGAAGCCCTTGAGACATCCCTTAGTTTAATTGCTTCTGTGCTTTAAATTACTGAAATGCCTCCGACATGCAAATTCTTATAGGACCACCGTGAATCCAGACTTGCATGAGATTTGATTTGATAGTCGAATCACAGGAAAAAGTCTGCAGCTGCAGTTTTATTCTTCGGTGTAAAAATGAAGAACAAAACTGCAATAATGGAAAATTGATTATGCAGCACATTTACAGAAATAATGGGGTTCATGACGTTGAAGCATTTTGACGTGAAAGTCATGTTGTAAGTTACTGAATGATTCGTTTAAAAGACGACAAAAAAACTCAGATTGAAGCACAAATTTTCATGTGACAACATCCGTAAAATATGTTCCCTTTACAAAACTATCTCCCTGACCTCTAACACCGTTAAACATTTTTACCGTCTGGAAGTTTTACTCATCCAGAGATTGAAATTTCTGCGCAAATAACTCTAGTTCATCAGTGATCAAAGTCTTGTCTTCCTCTAATTTTTGTTATGAATGAGCACAAAACTTTTGATATGTTGGAAAAAAAAATTTGTCGCAATTGAAATGTTTTCATTAAATAAGAAAGCACTCTAAAATCTTGCACTCTAACAACAATATAATTTCGTCTGAACTCACTCATGTATCTCTGCCTTTCAGTTTTTGGAAACTGAATCTCCTCCTCAGTCTCAATCACTTACAGCTTCTAGTACATTTCTTTCCATTTTAGCTGTATAACTTTAGTCCTCGAGATGTTTCTTGGATCAAACCACTTAAACTTTCACAGTACAGCTGAATTTATTCTGAGATTAAATTGCACAGTGGTAGAGATTAACTATGTGTCTGGAAAGAGTTAAACATAACAGCAAAGACATTTCTTGATATGAAGAAATGTTTTTTGGGAGTTTGAGAACCATGGAGGGTAAAAAAAAGGTGTCTGGTGGATCTGCATCTACCTGCCAGAAGCCACATGAACAAACAAGTCAGCGTAATATTGAGTGGGAGTTTTCAGTCACAGCAGTTGATCATCACATCCTCAAGCAGAAGAAAAGTCTCAATTGTTCATTAACTCCTCTGCACAGAGCCTCATCAAGGCTAATCTGAATAGGGGCACAGTCAGAGCTCCGAGTGTGCGTCTCTGCTCCCTGGTGGGCGTCGGGTGTCTGCCAACCCAAAACGAACGCCGCTTTGTTTCTGACGTATACCACGCACTGCAGAGGAGACAGCGACTTCGGGTCCATGCTGTCTCATTAGGCTGCACTTTATACTGTAAATTTTGTCTTATTTATTCATGCAAAATCCGAAATAAAGTCACATTCATTTTATGTGTTACTGAAGCATTTGGAGCGTGAAATAAAGAAACGTCCCAACAGTGATTTGGGTAAGAAGTTGTTGCATCTTAAAGCTGCACTGTGCAACTTCTTTAAACATTTTTTTTAACTTATTTGTTAAAAGTGACAAATAGATAATCTGTAAAAAAAATGTTTAAAGAAGTCGCACAGTACAG